CATTATGTTTCGGTCTAATAATTTGCCATCATTACTATAGAGTTGTATTATTTTTCCTTTATTTATATTGAGTTCTCTGTAAGATAAATCAGTGGGTTTTCTGTCTCTTCCTGTACGATATATAATTTGTTATCTGTGTTATGTTTGTGTATTTATAATAGAGCAAATAAAGAGCTTGTGCTGAATAAATGCTTTGCTCTTCTTCGGGCACCTGTAGGCGGCCATGATGGCGGAGGAGCTGAGGAAGGAGCAGGACACCAGTGCTCACCTGGAGAGGATGAAGAAGAACCTGGAGGTGACGGTGAAGGATCTGCAGCACCGCTTAGACGAGGCGGAGAACCTGGCCATGAAGGGCGGGAAGAAACAGCTCCAGAAACTGGAAGCAAGGGTATGTCTCATGTTTCTGCTTCCACGTTAGAGATTCATAGAAATAATAATAATAATAATAAAAAAAGGTTTTAAGGTTTGTAATCTGCACCAAAATGGACATGATGGTAGATCAGAGAATATCCAGTCTCTCTTCAAGGACAAATTGTGCTTTTATGCAAAATGAAAACCCTGTCAAAGTCATTTAAATGTTCGATGGATTGCAGTGTGACTAAGAACAAAAGGCCAATCCATCAAGAATACTGTATGTTTCTGTGTAGTTGTCCATAAAGCCGTCAACTAAAGTCCCTAGACAGAAGTCTAAATAAAACCCTGGAAAATCATTGGATCTCTCGCTGTCCAGGTCCGTGAGCTGGAGAGCGAGCTGGAAGCTGAGCAGAAACGTTTGACGGAGGCCGTGCAGGGAGTCCGTAAATACGAGAGGAAAGTCAAAGAGATGAGCTATCAGGTACAGAAACTCTGTTTCTCCTTATCTTTTATTGAAGCATTTCACCTCCATATTAATGTTGTACAAATATACCTGTACTTGTTTCAGTGTGAGGAAGACAAGAAAAACAACACTCGACTGCAGGACTTGGTGGACAAGCTGCAGAACAAGATGAAGGCCTACAAACAGAACGCGGAAGAAGCTGTGAGTGAATCAAGATTTGCAGAAACATTTTCAGTAATTGCCTCACCACTGGAGATGTTATTAACGTTTAAAGATGATATCAAATATTGATCCTCCTGTAGATAGACTTTTCTTATATAATGTTATTTCTACAAATTCTAAAGACACATCTGTTTTCTCTGAGAAGTAGTCATTTTTTAGGGTTAAGTCATCATTTTATAATAATAAAGTCATTAGGTATCGATAATAAAGTTTTAATTTATTGAAAATAAAGCAATAACTTTTCAGGTAAAACATTTTATATTCCACAAATAAAGTCTTGATTCAACAAGAATAGACTTAAGTCTTAGTTCCTTAATATTTATAGAAAGTCATTATAACAGGAATAAGGTTTTGAATGAAGGCCTGTTACTCTCAAAGAAGTTCCACAGTGCAGTACTAGTACTTATACATCAGTAAATGATGAGAATACTTCTTCCACCACTTATCAATACTCTTCATATATTCCAGGAGGAGCAGAGTAACAGTCACCTGGCCAGATACAGGAAAGTTCAGCACGACGTGGAGGCGGCCGAGGAGAGAGCGGACGTGGCCGAGTCTCTGTCCAATAAGATGCGAGCAAAGAGCCGGGAGATCGGGAACAAGGTACTGAGGGACTCTTACATGTACAGTAAATACTTATAATAAGCTGTTTCTTTGAGAGGGGTAACTGGGTTATTGAGGAGTTGATAGGACCACAGGCTACCTTTGTCAAACGGTTGAAAGAAAAAGACAACTTATAGAGGTAATTCAAAAGTTAAAATGAAATAATAATGTTTGTTAAACTATAATAACAGCTGGGCTGACAGATTTGGAAAATTGAAAGAAGAGAAGGAGGACAAATGTGAATTTTGATATTTTTAAAAGTATGTGTCTCTTACATACAACACAAAGTCAGAGTTGTAATTCACATATTTATTCTGCATCACAACCTTGGACCAAGATCACCATGTAAAGTCACATTTAAGACCACGGTAAACAATTGAGTTATCAAGAAAAAATACATTATCATAAATCAATTGTGGTCCCCAAATATGCAAAATAAGAAGTAATCTAGGGTCAAAGAATAGAAATTCCACCTTTTTATAAATTACTTAATAAAACGTCATATTAATAGACACTGTTTTTGCATCATTTGCAGGCACAAGAAGAGCAGGGCGAGAAGCTGAATGTTGGACTTTAACTCTCCAGCGGATAACTAATGTGCATGACAGAAATAAATGAGATATAATAATATGAATGTGTAAAGTTTAACACCATAATATGTCAACTCTTAACTAAATCAGTAAATATTGCTAAAATAAATTAACAATCACCTGCCAATTGAGTCAAAACTGTCATTAATATTAAATGACCTCCTCAACATCAAATCCAGTATTGATATACTGTAGAGTAAAACATGAACTGTTGCTACAATGTGTCTTAAAACATTTAATAAAATTACATTATATCTCCCGTGTTGAAAAATCAACATTTATTGTTGATTTGAGAATAAAAAAAAGAAAGACAACTAATATGACTAATTTATTAATGATATATTATTATTTAGCTCGAGGCTCACTCCATCACAGTTTGCAATAACCTGATTATTTTGGAAAACTAAATATTAAATCACCATAAAAATATAAACTGACAACATACGGTGATTCTTACGTTACTGTGCATATATGTCGCATACTCCTAAATTAAAGTGTTAAATGGAGGTACTAACAATATTTATCCATGCATTCATCCAATATATTTATATATATCACCACATAAGATTTATTTCCGGTTAAATCCATCATCATTTAGTCATTTCCTCTCATCTCAATTGAAATGTTTTCCATTTCCTTAACCGTCATAGATCAGTTTCCTTCTGTATTCTTAGCATTGCTGTCGTTTTTAGTTTTAGAACAATAATACATGTTTGAAAAATATAAGTCAATGTGTTCTGTGTTACTTGACAGGTAAATGTATGTCCCTCACGTTGACCAATGAAAACAAAAAAGATAATAATACAAATAATGGTGATATGCCTCTCAAGATGAAAACAATAAATCAAAGCGTGGGATATTTCCTTTATTACTATTTAATTGAAATGAAGGCAACATACATCAACTACCACAATGCAAACTACATTTAGCATTTAAAGCCACTATGTGTGGATGTGAAACATTTCCTGCGTTGCCGCCCTCCAGTGGTGGTAGGAGAAAAGACACTTGTTTTTCATCCACAATGCAATGGACACATTCAAAAAGTGAGTGCTAATGAGTAAAACAAGATTGCAAAAACGTTTTTAAGCACTGCTGTGCTGGGAAGGTTGCTGTATTGATAAAAACAAAATGCAATTGAGACGTCCTGAATTAACAAATGATTAAAAATATATATATCAAAGGTGGAAGAAGTACACATTTTACCTCAATTAAAAAAAAAAAAAAAATACTCTTTAGTATAATATTTCACCCATTCATTCAGAATCCTGCTAAAGTATAAAAGGAGAATACAGCAATATGTTGTCATTTTCTACAGACAATAAACATCAAAATAATTAGAAAGAGATCTTAAATCTCAATGGAACAAACTTGGTTGTATAAGAAATAAAATAAAAGATCTCATCCAATCAGATGCAGAAGAAGTCATCTGATCTTTAACCTAATTTAAGGTAGTAATTCCACAGTATAAAATACTTTATAACAATCAAATGTCCTTCCTTAAAAGTTTGACTTCGGTTCAAGTACTCAAATCTAAATGTGCTTCAAGTAACAAAAGTAAAAGAACTCAATATGCAGAATAATATTTTTTATATCATTGTATTTTAATTATTGATGCATTGTCTCGCAGCTGGTAAAGACGGAGCTATTTTGTATCCCTATTTATTACGTGGTTTAGTTGAATACTGGATTATAATTGATCAATTTGGATTTCAGGTGTCTGTTAATTCTCGCTAACAGACCACTGCCAAGGAGAACCGGCCCTTGTTAAGGACGATCAAGTATGCGCAATCATATCAATCTGTAAAAAGAACGGAGTCCGGTCGATTTTACTTTAGGTGTGGACGAAAAACATTAGTTTTCTTCATCAGAAAACAACGTGGAATACCTTTTTGAATATCCACTTTTATATTTGATGGCTAAACTGTCCCCAGTAAATAAAAGGAGAAGGCAAGAGATTCCATTATAGAGGCTGGACGTCAGAGAAATCAACAGAAGTAGAGACAGACAGGAAGTAAACACTAAAGGGATCACGGTATGGGCTGTGGCAGTGTTTAAAGGTTTGTTAATGAGAAAGATATTGTGAATAGATTTTGGGTGTTTCTCAATCGCGAGTACGCTTGCTTGGTAGCACATGTCTGCCGAGCATCTTGCTTCAGAAGCGAGGCAAGAATACTTCCTGGCATTCGGAAAACGAAGTGTGGAACACGCTAGCAAGTGTGCAGGTGTGCGTCATATGAGAGGCCCCGCCTTACATCTTCCACCACAGATTTGGGGAAATTGGTCCGTGCGCAAAGCATTGTGGGGATTTTAAGGCCGCGGAGTCTACTCATGTGCAGCCTCGATATTTCTCCAAACGGAGTACGCCGGACTCGGTAGATTTCCAAGTATGCTGGAGATTGGAACAGTACTTCGGCGGCACTCGATGACGTAGTATGCTTGAAATAGTGGCTCTGAAGCAGCTTTACTCGCGATTGAGAAACACCCATGGACTGTTACAGAAAACCTTGATCAGAGCTGCCGTCATTTTAAGTTACGATGCTATTGCTGCACTAACAGCCAATGTTAAGCAGTGGAACAAACCCATTTTTCTTGTTTGTGAATTCCACAATGGTAACTTCAAAATGGTATTAAGTTGAATGTACTTAGCTAATTGACACCACTGCATAAAATCACACACATAATGGCTTTAAATAACGAAATAAACACACATTTCTTAAGAGTATGTTGCACACTAGCTCAGCTTCAGTCTTCTTCTTGGCAGCCACTCATTACTCTCCGCTGTCTTTGGCCTGCTGCATGAGACATAAAACATAAATCATCATCAGTATTAATGAGACACAGTTTGATACCAGGAGCCGGCGGACTCACCTTCCCCATGTCTTGACCCTTGACTTTCATCTTATTGATCTGGGACTCTGCGATGTCCGCGCGCTCCTCCGCCTCCTCCAGCTCGTTCTGCACCTTCCTCAGCTTCGCCAGATGAGTGTTGGCCTGCTCCTCCTGTCACACACCAAATTAGATTCAAATGCACCAATTATAAAATATTCTTATTAAAAAGAAAGTCCCTCACAGCTTCCTCGGCCTGTCTCTTGTACGCTTTGATCTTCAGCTGGAATTTGTCCACCAGATCCTGCAGCCTTATCACGTTCTTCTTGTCCTCATCCGACTGAAAATCAGAAACAGGAAACAGATCCGTTACTACTGACTGGTAGGATACTTGTGTTTCACTTATTCAACTTCAGAGGTAAACATTGCAGATTTGTTAGCTTCAGTTCATTTTTAGATGAAACTCTTTGGTCCCCCTTCCTGTCAAGTGAAAACCACAGTGTATTACTAGGGAAAAGGCGGATGTAAAATAGAAAATTGAGGTAAAGACTTTTAGTAAAGTAAGAATTCAGGACATTACCTTGTTATGGAGTGTTGTTACAGGGTGATACTAGAACTTGGATGTGAATATTTCCTCCCCCACTATAGGAACAAGGTATGAGAGTTTACCTGATAGGTGAGCTCTTTAATCTTGCGCTCATATTTGCGGACTCCTTTCACAGCGTCCGAGCCGTGTCTTTGTGCTGCTTCAAGCTCGGTCTCCAGCTCTCTAACCTGCAAACGAGCAGTTACAATATCTTTAAACGATTCAATATGTGACCTGCTCCATCGAAATCAGTCGCATTGACCCCAAGACCCATTTTGAGTTGTATACATTGTTGGAAAGAGGAGATTCCTAGCTTTCTAATGATATCAGGATTGTTGTTGTACTCCAAATATTAAGCTAAATATGTCACATTATATAATGACTGTCACCGAGTCATCATTTTGAGAAAAAGGCCTTTAAAGTTTCCTCTTCTCTGGAATCCATCAATCTGATTGATTATTATGGAGAGATGTGTCAAAATGAGAGAAACATGAATTAGAAATCTATTTAAAATACGTTGTTTACCATATGTGATCCTTTAACACCCTCTCCATCCTGTGTTTCAGGTCAAGTCTCTGACCCTACCTGAGCGTTGTGTAACACAGTGATGTAATACCTTTCTGACCTTTGACCTGCCCACCTGTCAGAGCTCACACTGCTTCCTCTGAGACACAAACACACCTCCACCTGTAGGGTACCTGCTGTATGTGAAGCACCTGAGAGGAGCGTCACCTGCATGCTCTGATAACAGCAGCTTTGATCAGGTTAGCTGTTGCTTTTCTTTACTGCTGCAGCGACTACACACACACACACACACACACACACACACACACACACACACACACACACACACACACACACACACACACACACACACACACACACACACACACACACACACACACACACACACACACACACACACACACACACACACATATATAACTTCTTTTTTTGTATCAGGAGGTAGAACATCTACTATTAGGTGTGTGTGTGTGTGTGTGTGTGTGTGTGTGTGTGTGTGTGTGTGTGTGTGTGTGTGTGTGTGTGTGTGTGTGTGTGTGTGTGTGTGTGTGTGTGTGTGTGTGTGTGTGTGTGTGTGTGTGTGTGTGTGTGTGTGTGTGTGTGTGTGTGTGTGTGTGTGTGTGTGTGTGTGTGTGTGTGTGTGTGTGTGTGTGTGTGTGTGTGTGTGTGTGTGTGTGTGTGTGTGTGTGTGTGTGTGTGTGTGTGTGTGTGTGTGTTTCAATTGTTTAGTGAGAATGCTGACACAGCAATCAAGTGTTAAATCAGACTTTAGTTCCACCTGGAGTAAATTCACAAGCTACCCTGCAGTATACAAAGTCATTCAAACTAACTGCACCTTTACCAGCTTTGAGAACACTTTCATGATCAATCATTATAAACATATCATATATATTATTCTGAAATGGACCAATCTGCACAATGACTACTTTTACTTTTGGTACTTTAAATATAATTTGATAATACTTTTGTACTTTTACTTAAGTAACATTTTGATTGCAGGACTTTTACTGAAACAGAGCATTCCTACACTCTGGTACTAGGATGAGTACATCTACTTTAACTCAAATACAAGATCTGAGTACTTCTACTTTTGCTCAAGTACAAGATTTTTTTTTTTTTAAATGTTGAAGTTAAAAGCATCAATCTGGTGCACTTTGAGAAAATGAAGAGATCTATGGACACATCTCTCAACACCCATATGAAACAGAACTGTAAGCAGATTTTCTTTTTCTTTATGGATATTTTACAAATCAATCAACTTTTTTTGTACTGTCTAATAGTATTTTATACCTGTTTAATTTATTCTCTTATTTTGTATAACTATAATGATCATATAAAGATGTGCCTTTACCTCACTGGTTGTAGAAAAAGCTTCTTATATTCGTTAGCATAGCTAGCTAACCAGATGCTAATAACAACAAAGTTGTGACCCACCATGACTTGAAAGAGCCACAAAATTACAAAAAAAAAGACACACTAACCCTAACCCTCCTCTACCTCCGTGTTATCACTTACTGACTGGACTTGCAGGAGGTGGTCATTCTTCTCTTGTACGACAGAGACCATTTTCTCCTCGAGTTCCCTGCGCCGGTTTTCTGATTTGGACAGATCCTCTTTGAGTTTTGTGAAATCCACCTTCATCTGGATCATTTCCTTCTCAGCCTCAGCGCTCTTCAGGAGAGGCTTGAGCTTAAAGTAGAGCTTCATCCACGGCCAGTGTTTCACATTCATGAAGGAGCGGAAGTTATACTGGATGGTGTAGATCGCCTCCCTGTCCAGGTCAGATTTGGATTACTTTACTCTGCAAAAGTCTGAATCTATAATGCTATTTTCTTTTATATACAAAACACATACACGTTATTTTAACCACAAATTAGAAAGGTTATACTGTAAGCTGTTTTGCCATCTTATCTGTGGAGCTGACTAGTATGGATTTTCACAAGCGATAAACACATCGCAATATTTCTATTTGACTAGATAACATGTTAATTTAGAATATCTGTAAACATTTTTGTTATGTTTTTTGATAGTAGTAATTACATTTCCACAAGTAAAAACTGAATACAGAGATCTAATTGAAATATCAATATCACTAACTTCTTCTTTTTACAAGTAACGATAACCAACACAGATATCTTACATTTCATTTTCAAATGTTGAAAAAAGATTGTTACATTATATATAAATTGATACTGATTGAACTGATATGTCATATTAACACATGTGGATGTGAAATGTGTTTTTTTTATATGGGGCTGAGCAATCTGTAAACTTATTTTCTGATATTTGAAATGTGATTCGGACTACAGTAGGAATTGTAGATTTTAAAAATCTAATTGTTACACGTTAAAATATAAAGTTCATGTGTAACAATTGCGTTCCAGATATCTCAAATACAATCCTAGATATCTGTAATTTCAGTCATTTACTGTTCTAGGCAGTGATATCAATATTTAATTTAAAACTGCATTTTTAGATAGCTATAAATCTATGAATGATGTATAGCTATATAGAGTCAAAAAGCAATTGTTTAAATCTGTGTTTACTTTAACTCCACTGATCAAATGTTAAAACAGCTTGCCACAGAAGTAGAGAAAAGCTGCATATTTACTTTCTGGCCATCATCTTCTGGTACTCCAGGCGGATGAGGTACCCGCGGCACAGAGCCTGGGTGGAAGTCACCACCTGCGCCAGCCTCTCATCCCTCATTTCCTCCAGAGCGCCCAGCAGACCAGCTTTGAAAAACACATCTGAAATTAAAGGTAAATATTAATCTGCCAAAGCTTATTTAGTCTCTATGATTGAAAAAGTAATGAATGCAAACCTTAGTGTGTCCAAACTTGTACTGAGTGTGGTCCACGTCGATGGAGCCCAGCAGTTTCTCTGCAGCTTTTTTGTTATCCATGAACTGTTTCTCTGGAACAGCGCTAGCGTTCAGGATCCTGTATCTGTACCAGGAATAATCAGAAGTCTGAGTATTAGACAGGAAGTCTAAAACTATCAGAGGCTTAGAATGTTTAGTTTTTTTTAAAGTAAAAATATTGTAGGCAAGTCAACAACTTACACTTCTGTTCCATCTTGTTAAAAACATACTTTGTTTTATTACAGGCTTTTATGAGAATCACTACCTTAAAGGTGGGGTAGGTAAGTTTGAGAAACCGGCTCGTGATACACTTTTTGTTATATTCCATGGAATGCTCTTAACATCCCGATAGCAATGAATATCTTAAGTGCTTTGACAAAAAATTCATAAAAAAATGTCATCTGTGGAAGCCGTAATACTGTAAAAGTACGACCAATCATTTTAGCCGGCCCGGCTAAAATAACTGGATGGCCTACCTGCCTGTCAGCCTTCCATCTGTGCACAAACTTATCTCGTGCCCTCATTGGTCATGTGCGCGTTCGTGTGTATTGGAGGAGGGGCTCTATAAGGAAGTGACAGATTTTCTCCGGTTGTGTATTTTCAAATTCTAGCGATCTCGAGCCGGTTTCTCAAACTTACCTACCCCACCTTTAATTCTCCAAATTCTTACTTGTAAAACTCATTGTCCCATGTTGTTTATTTTTATTTTGTTCATATTTACTGGTGGCTATGCACCATAAAAGTTTATTTAAAAACTTGGCTGACCTTCAGTCATTCTAGGCCAGATTAATATATTCCTAAGGGGTGGCATGAAGAATGTGAAAACTGCTGATTTAAATCCAAAGCTTCATTTACCTCTGCTTAAAATCCCCATAGAGGATTCTGCTTGGAAATCCTTTCCTGCAGATCCGGATTCCCTCCAAGACGCCGTTGCAGCGGAGTTGGTGTATAACCAGCTGGTTTTCCATATCACCTATGTTGAACAAAATAATTTGTTTTCTTCCCAAAATTGTATATTATATATATATATATATGTTATAATGAGCAAATCTAACATACCTGGTGTTTTGGTCTCATTTGGTATCAAACAGCGCACAAAGTGAGGATGAGTGGTTCTCAGATTCGTCATGAGCTTCCCAAGATTCTCCTGGAATAAATTAAAAAGGTACATTTTTTCCCCCACTTTACTGTTATTTAGTTCATATACAAATATGTAAATAATACAAATGCAATATAACGTTTATTAGTTGATGTACAATAGAATTCAGGCACCATTCAGTTTTTTCAAGACTAATAAATAATGCACAATACAAGAACAGAGGGAAACCCTACCTCTAAAACCAAACATTATGTTATAGTAAGAATCTTTAAATAGCATTAACCTCTTTTTGTTATCTTCATTATATAATTGATATACATGTTAGCTAAACATATTAGCATCACTAAGCTGATGGTACACATGCTAAACATCACACATTTAGCATTTTGTTTTGGTTGGCATGTTGATGATGTTGTTAGCATTTAGCTCAAATTATAGCCTCAACTAGCTGCTAGCATAATTTACTTGGTGTTACAAAGGAAGTTGTCAAGTGTTAAGAAACAAAACACGTTTAGAACTTAGGCATATAGGCATCTTACCCTGAAGAGCGCTGACACAGTTTGGAAAGATGCTCCTTTCTTCTTGGATCCTTTTTTGGTTCCTCCTGCAGCGGCCTCTGCATGAGTTACGCATTTAAAACTAAAACATATTAACACCAGCCTCTCACTTTTATCGATACATTGTTCCATATTTCTCCATTTGCTCAGGAACAGAAATCCTAACCCCACTTTTGCTGCTTGATATACTTTATATTCCTGCATTTCCTCAATTATGCATACAGAAACAGGGGTGTAGCTAATACTGTATACAATTACTCAAGTAAAATTGTGAGATACTGGTACTTTGCTTGAGTATTTTCTTTTGAATCAACTTTCTACTTCTTCAAGAGGTAAGAGACTGTATTTTTAACTTGACTATATTTGTCTAACAGAAAGAATCTTAAGAAATAGATGTCATGGCTCCAGCTAAACAAATTTCAGTATGAGTTTTTGCCTTATAGTGTAAGTACAATATGTTAAGGCACTGATAAGTATGAAATGTGGACTGATCAAACATTGTGACGGTCCCACTCACAAAGAATAAATCGATTAATGGCAGGATAAATCTGCAGATTCGTTTGTAATGAAAAATAATCTTAATGCGTTGAAAGAAAAACAATGAAACTTGATATCATAACATGATACTTCCACACTCTCCTGATAGCATACTTTCACTTGAGTAATATTTCTTAATGCTATACTTGCAGAACTG